AGCCTCCCCACCTCCTCCGTCCCCCACCGGAGCCCTCACCCGGCGACGTCACCGCCGCCGCCGCCTCCGCTATACCCGCCGGCCCCGCCGCACCGCCCCGGGGGCCCCGGTTCTGCCGTCCGCCGCTCCAAGACCGACAGGATTTTCTCCTCACAGCTCCCTAGGCGCCATCTTACATTCAACCCTCACAGCCAATGGGTGCCGAATACTTCTCTCGCGAGAATAGCAGCACCCGATCCCGCGAGAGCTGAGGCTTTCCTGCCGGCCAAGCTTAAAGGGAACGCTTTGAGACCGGGAGGGGAGGCCGCGCCTCGAGATGCTGGGGCGCAGGACGGGTCCCCGGCGGTGTCGGCTCGCTCGCCCCGCCCACCGGCGCCCCCCCCCTCAGCCGGGGCGGAGCCAGAGCTGGAGTTCAGCCTAGCAGGAGTGGGGGGAACCCCTGGCAGGGCTTGAGCTTTCAAGACCCACCTTCCACTGCCCGCTAGAGCCTCCTTTGGTCGCGCGGCTTCACGAGGGGCGGAGCCCGGCTCCGTTCGATCTCAGGCTTAAGGTGGCCCCCCACAACCCCTGAGCCTGGTCCCAGCCGTCCCAGCTGTACCCCCAACCTGGGAAATCTCCTGGATCGTTCACCTCCTGGAAGAACCCAACCTCTGGGATGTTCGCCATCCGCGCTGCCTCCTGAGCTCTGCTGTCGAGAATCAGATCCACCTTAAAGCGGGCCTCAGGCAGCCTGATGTTTGTACACAGGGAAAATGTGGAAGTCATTAAAGCTGCAGGCACTCACCTGCAGCCCACACTACCTGAGAGAACCACCAGCAGCTTATTGGAGACCCTTAGAGCCTTTCCACTTGATCCTCTTGTCTGGGCAAAACTGTCCATTGTGTCACAAGTCATTTCCTGAGAGCAAATCCAGGCTAAGGCCCAAGCCGAGTTAGGATTCTCTCCCAAGGAGACCTCTCCCAGTTTCTGCATGAACTTTGAAAGACCACCTCAGATACACTATTTATAACCTCATCTCTCGGTGCCTGGCACATACTAGACAGTTATCTGCTGGAGGACCACAGACATGGAGATGGACACAAACATCCTATATCTTTCGATGCTAAAGGGGAATCAACACCTCCAGGGCCCCCAGGTCCTCCAGATTAGGTGCAGAAAACAGGAACACCACCCAGGCCCCTTGTTCTAGAGAACCAAGAAATACATCAGTGATTTCAAAGGGGTCAGTGCCCATCTGTTCTAAGCCCATTCAGTCAATAGATGCACAAGCACCCCCATTTCTCCCCCAGCATGAGTTCAGGGCCCACAGATGCTAGAGTGGCAGACAACACACAGACCACAGGGGCATTCAGCTATTCTTTATTGACATGGAGGAGAGGGTGATGATGGCACCCCCAATCTCCAGGATGAGGTAGATCCATAACGCTTCCAAGTTCACACCTTTCCTGGGTCCTCCTTTAGGGTGACAGTTCGATTGAAGACAAGCTGGAGGGCAAAAGAAGAAAGGTTGATGGTATAAATGTATAGAAATGTTACAATGAAACTCCTCCAGTACAACTAATATAGTGCTAATAGAGGTTTTTTGTTGTTGTTGTTTTTTAATTGTTATAGGTGCTGGGAATGTAGCTTAGTGGTAGAGTGCTTGCCTAGCATGCATGAAGCCTTGGATTCGATTCCTTAGTACCACATAAACAGAAAAATCCAGAAGTGAGGTTGGGAAGGTGGCTCAGTGGTAGTGCTTGCCTTGCATGCATGAGGCCCTGGGTTCGATTCCTCAGCACCATACAACCAGAAAAAGCCAGAAGTGGCACTGTGACTCAAATGGTAGAGTGCTAGCCTTGAGCAAAAGCAGCTTAGGAACAGTGCCCAGGCCCCAAGACTGGCAAAAAAAAAAACAAAAAACACACAAGCTAGGCTCTAGTGGCTCACACCTGTAATCCTCAGGAGGCTGAGACCTGAGGATCATAGTTCAAAGCCAGTCATGGCAGGAGAGCCCATGAGACTCTTATCTCCAATTAACTATCAGAAAACCAGAAGTGGCCCACTGTGGTTCAAGTGGTAGATCACTAGCTTTGAGCTGAAGAGCTGAGGGTCAGGGCGCAGGCCCAGATTCAAGCCCATGACTAACAAAACACCAAAACCAAAAGCAAGCTTTGTGCATAGATTTAACTTCTTAATAAACTTCCTTATCAATAGAATGTGAATGCCCCCTCCCCACTGAGGTTGGTACTGATTAAATGGATGTAAGCAGAATGCTTCGCACAGTAAACAGCATCCACCATTACAGTTGCAATAAGGGGGAAGGGATTGGGAGTACTAAATCCAGCACCTGTCCTTGGCGGCTATCTGGATCCACGGAGAAGTACCCAAGGCGCTCAAACTGGAACTTGTCGAAAGGCTTTGCCAGGGCCACAGAGCAGTCCACTAACGCTGCCTTCACCACTTGTAGTGATGCCTGTAGGCAGAGAATTCAGACAACTATCCAGCTAGAGAAGACCTTTCCCCTCGCCCACCAGTCCAATCGCATGTGCATGCGCATGCACGCGCATGCACACAGTGAGCCTACCGGGTTCACATCACTTAAGAATCCACCAGGCACCTCGGCAGGATCTTCAGGATTCTTGTGCTGGAATCTACAGTCAGAGTGAGAAAAATCAAATTCCCCAGCTGGGCAGCTATAGCAGCCAACGCCCATCTCCTGGCTGCCCTTCCACTGCTCCAGCGTTGGTCACTCACAATCGCTCATAGAGGCGAATCTCGCACATCAGAGGCTCTGACACCCAGTGAATAAAGGCCTTGGGCTTCTCTCCAGTATCAGCCCGTCTGCAGGTGACCTCTAGGCACTCCACACAGCCATTGGGACCCTGAAAGTGGGGAAGCTTGCGATCAGATTGGGGAGCCACCCACAAATAAGGTGGGCAATGATGCATCACAACCCCAGCAGGCACTGTGGCAGGAAGGCAGTAGCTGCCTCTCACCTTGACAACATGCTGCAGCTCAATGACATAGCCTGTGTGTCTCAGGCCCACGGGCTGGCCCCAGGTTAGGCGCTTATAGCCTGGTTCTGGCTCCTAGAGGTAGGAAGTGAGAGGGACACAGGAGGCTAGAAGGGGTAGACAAGCAGGAGGCATTCTCCTATGGTGGATGGAGGATCAGTTCACGTGAAGCAGGGAGGAGGTGGATTGACAGAAGGGCTGAGGAAATGAAAAGAACTCTGGGATCAGACAGAGCAGCAAAACAGGACCTTCTGACTGCTATTCACCTCCTTGAAGTCAGTCCTCTCAATGAAGACAGTGGATGCAAAAGGAACTTGGTGGAAGCCTTTGGTCTCATCAGCTGGGAAGTTGGGCACCTGGACGGTCAAGGGCTATATAACAGGAGACACATATCTTGAGTTGTACCAGGCATTTGGAGCCCCATGCCCCGACAGACAGACAGACAGACAGACACACACACACACACACACACACACACACACACACGTGGAGGCAGGCCCACCTTGACAGCAGGGAAGTTGGTGATGACAACCTTTAGGGACTCCAGCACAGCCATGGCTCGTGGGGCTGTGTCATTGAGCACGTCACGCACACAGGCTTCCAGAAGATGTGGCTCCATTGTGGTCTGAGCCACTGTCACCCCCACCTGGCAAGAAAAGTTCCGCATGCACAACTACAATCACAACTGTAACAGGAACTTGTTTAATCTACCCAGCCAGCCCCATGGGCTATGTACTCGGGCACAGAAGTTGTTGATGGCCTCGGGTGGAAAGCCACGCCGCCGCAGCGCTGTGAGTGTGAAGAGCCGGGGATCATCCCAGTCCCTGTGGATAAAAAGAGGTGATGGGAGGGCTGGGAAGGTGGCTTAGTGGTAGACTGCTGGCCTAGCATGCATGAAGACCTAGGTTTGATTTCTCAGCGCTACATACACAGAAAAAGCAGGAAGTGGTGCTGTGGCTCAAGTGGTAGAGTGCTCACTTTAAACAAAAGTAGCTCAGGGACAGCACCTAGGCCCTGAGTCCAAGCCC